CTGTAGACAGGAGGAGGTAACTGTATCAAGCATTTTGACAGAATTATGCCCCTTTTTCGACTTAGAATTTATGTTAAAGTTTTTGTAATAGTTTAAATATTTTCAAAGTCCATTGGCATATGGCTTTGAAACTTTGCACACTTGTTCACCATCATGACCCCAACCTGTAGACAGGAGGAGGTATCTGTATCAAGCATTTTGACAGAATTATGCCCCTTTTTTAACTTAGAATTTACGTTAAAAAAGTTTTTGTAATAGTTAATATATTTTCAAAGTCCATTGACATATGGCTTTGAAACTTTGCACACTTGTTCACCATCATGGCCCCAACCTGTAGACAGGAGTAAGTAACTGTATCAAGCATTTTGACAGAATTATGCCCCTTTTTCGACTTAAAATTTACGTTAAAGTTTTTGTAATAGTTAAAATATTTTCAAAGTCCATTGACATATAGCTTTGCAACTTTGCACACTTGTTCACCATCATGACCCCAACCTGTAGACACTAGGGGTAACTCTATGATGCATTTTGCAAAATTAATACCCCTTTTTCAACTTAGAATTTACATTTATTTACAAATTCTATTGACTTATTTTCATATTCTATTGATGTCTGGCATTGATACAAGTTGAAATTTTATACTCTTCTTTGAAAGCATAATAGGAGTCTTGCCATGGCCTAAAACTGTAACATGGATTTAAAGAAAAAATTTACCCTTTTGTTAACTTTGAAAATTTTACATTATCAAGGCTCCTTTACTATCAAGCACTAAGAATAGTCGAGCGTTGCTGTCCTACCGGCAGCTCTTGTTATCAATAAAACACGTTACGATTGTCTCCCGAGATAACGTTGAGGAGAATTAAAAGTGAAACCTATCTAAAATAAGCCATTAAGGGCCTTAATATTCGGGCATGCGCAGAACAGGTTATTGCCCCGCATGACCAGGTCATTAAATAACTAGTAAACAAAAGGGTATGTTAGTAAATAAAGAACTGAATCAACAATATTTACCTAAGAGGGGTTCTGTTGTTATTTACTTTGAAATAGAAACTGTATGTTCGATTCAGACCGGATGATTTGTGGATCTAAACAAAAAAATAAAGCCTTATTTGACAGGAATAGATTCTGTCCGGTAAACTGATTGTCCGGTAAATATGAAGGATCGCAGTATCTAAAATGTAAATCTAAGGTTTATTGTACAAAATTAATCATATCATTAAATTGATTAAACCCTTGTAAATTGTTCTATTTTGTTCGTGAATAGTGAATCGTTGTATATGTCAGTGTTCCTCCGTGCTGTTTTACAGAAATTAGAAACTTCGACGGGAGCGATACTTAGTGTCAAACTTTATTTGGCCTCATTCATATTAACATTATTACGTCACTACCAGTTCGCTTCTGAATGGTGGATAAAAATTTGAACTTATAAATATGCATGAATTACGTCACTTTTCGCGCGCATGTTTTTTTTTTTTTTTTTTTTTTCGGTTGGGAAATATGGAGGACGGAAAGTTTTCATTGCTCGATATTGAAACATTTATTTTCGGAAAATATTTTCAAGGGGGTCATACCAACGCGCGCATCCTACCGCGAACACTTTTTCCACCGGTATTTTGAACAAAAACGAGCCATGTAAAGCAATCAGAATAGTTTTGAATTTAATTTCTTTTTCAAAGAAGATGTCCTTACTTCTAGTTTTAATATACCAAATGTCTTGACTTTCTCGTCAGTATATCGCGTTAAATGCGATTTGATTCTGGATACTGCGTACCCTCGGCGTTGAAATGTTACAGAAATTGAAAAATTTTCAGTTAAACTGAAAGTTTCACAGTTCGAAGTAATTTTATTCTAGAGCCTGGTTCATAAATATATCTTTAATCTTTGTTATTTTTCCTTTTTACCAAAAATGTCTTAGATCTAAAACGAACTTTTTACTGGAAATAGAAATTATTATACTGCGTAAACTCTCAAAAAATCATGATACTGCGTACACATTTATATGTTATTGATTCTGCAAGCAGTCTAAGTTCATAATGGGATCAACTGGATAACACTGGCGAACAAAAAAAAAAAATAATAAAAAGATAATTTAAATAAAAAAATAAGATTCAATTCCTGTGATAAAGTGTTTCTAATATTAACGTTCTTTAAAGGCAAACGCAGCATGGGTATGTGATAATCAGAGTATAAATTGAATGAGTGCAAAAACCGTCTAAAAAACTTTTAAAGAACGTTAATATTAGAAACACTGTGGCTAGAACAAATTTAATCTCGTGATTATATTACTGCACATCTTAACTCCCTACACTGTAAATAAGGAGAACACCGGACGCGTTCACACTTGTTCAATTTTGGAACATTGCGCGTTATATTTTGAATACATGTGTTCAGCAAAGGCGTTCTATGTACGAGTTGAACACTTATAAGTTGAACGTCAGTGTTCAATGGTAGTCCTTCTGACTAGACAACATGAAAGTATTTGAGTTTTTGAGTACTTTGGTAAGATTTTTTGGTCAATGTATTGTAACTGATGTTAGATTTACGCAATTCAATAAGTAATGATGCTTTAATAATTAAAACAATAAAAAGTGAAACATAATATGAACAGTTGCGTTCATCATTGAAAGTGTCTAAAAATACAACTGTGACAATTTGTGACGTCATAATGAGCGCACGAGGGCACCAATTCAAGTACAACAACAACAAGTAAGCGTCGTCGAAACGCAAGCCGAAGTTAGATTAGCTCTTCACTAAAATTGAAGAAAAATACGGTATAAACTTTTATTAAATAACATACACTTCATTAGTATCCATAAATTTTATTTTTATTAAATAGGTTAATGTAGTTAACAATGGCATGACTGTCTCTATTCTTTTTACAAGGTGAGCGGGTGTGGGTATTATCGAACATGCGTGTTTTGACGAGCAAATATTTCTTAATATTCTTCTAAATAAGGCAGTGACATTATAAACATCGGGATACTTGACAAGGCAAAGAATACCACGACGCTTGACAAGTATGTAAACTGTTACAAATATTCTAATTTTAGATATCTGACGTCATAAATTTATATGGCTTCCTGATTTCGATAAATCACGTGTTTCTTGTTATTTGTGAAACTAATACATGTACACTACTGTGATATGGGAAATAACTCCATATATCACTTAGATATTTATTTACTGAGTTATTTGCATGTTCGGAATTACAAGCAGTTAAAATGTGTCATGCGTGTATACCGAACACAGTGCTTACAATAATTAAAACACACAGTTATCATTATTATAGCGTTATAAATTTATCTTAATATAGTTATACTGGTAAAATATAATTTTATACATGTATATAAAAATAAAATAAACAAAGAAATGAAATAGTTAATCAATTATTAATCAATTTATTAAAATTAATTAATTCATTAATTATTTTGATTCATTCATTTTTTTTGTTCAACCAATCATTTAACAAATATGTAGAAAGATAAATAAATGAATAAGTAAATTTAGATAAATAAATAGCTCTAGTAAAAGAAAAAAAATGATCAGACAGACATTTCTTTTAATTTTCTTTTTATGAATGAGCAGGCAGATAGACGCAAAACGGCAGCGTTATTCGGCAGAATTAACTGCTTGACTATGTAGCTGAATTAGTTCGTTTAAACTCCGTTAGTTGAAACCAAGCATCGAAAAAGTATGGGATTCCAAAGTCCAACCCTCACAATACTGTCCATATAATACACTGGTCATAAGTTTGACAGTTCTAACTGAGTCTGGGGAAAGAAGTATATCGACTATGGACGCAAAAGACAAGAGCTTGCACACACTTGAACTTGAAAATGTTTGATGGTGAATGTCGCTGAACGGTCTTTCGTGAAAACGAACCCTGTAGATCTTGGCTGGAGGGTTACTTTCGCCGCAACCCTGAACTGACCCTTCGAATAACCATTCAGCTAGGGAAATAGAGAGAGGGATGGAGGCGAGGGGGCATGGGAGGGGAGGGGAGGGTAGAAAAGGTTAAAAGATTTTTTTTTCTAATTTCAAACACTACCTTGAGGAGGAGTTGGAGGATACAGATTATAGATTTCACATTACCGGAGTATCTGACAAGTACTTCTTTTGAGGTCACTTCCGAGCTTAACAGGTGGAGGAAGACCTCAGGTGCCCGTCTGTTCATTATTTCAGGCATGAACAGGCACCTGGGTAGAACGTTCGACGTTCCGTAAGCAAGCTGCATATTTTTTCATCAACATTTTTTGGTCTATAGGTGCTATTTCTTTATAAAAGTAAGTAAATTATGTGCTCTTTTAAGTCGCACCCGCTGATTTCGCCTGAATTTCTTGGTTATTGCACCAGTCGAGGTAAGGGCATTAGCTACTGAGTGGTTAGGGTCGTTAACTTCAAACCATTTGACCCTCATCGCTGTGGGTCCTATCACCAAAGGGGCTTTGGATACTTTGGATACTTTTACGTAAAGCAACGAAGTTACATATATTTTTGGTTGGGTTTTACGTCACACTAGCACAGTAATGGTCATACGACGACTTTCAAGCTTTATTGTGGAGGAAGACCCCGGGTGCGCCTCAGTGCAAAATGGCACGAACGGACACCTGAATAGAACCACTGATAATTCGTAACCTGGCTGGATAGCTTCCTCACATTACATAACCCAAAGTCTCCGGCAAGATTCGAACGTACAGCTGTAAGCGGCAAGTGGATTGACTATAACTGAAAAAAAACTTTATAATATATACAATTTTCATTGTTAGACAGAGTAATCAGTTATTATTGCTTACATTCAATCAACAAACCACATTTTCGAAATATACGCAGTGCACACTGCTTCGTATATGGTTTTTACCAATCAATTTTATGGGTTTTTTCCGCACGCCTATATGATACACCATACAAATAATCCAACAGAGTCAATACAATCTCACACAAAGTCAAGTCACGTGATACATTTTTAGATAAAGAGACAGGGTAGATAAAAACAACTCATGCAAAAGAAATAATATATTTAAGATAAAATAGTTTCAATACAAAAAAAACCTCTTGCAATTAGTATCATGTACATTTGATGTGAATCAGGGGCTAATACATGGTAATATACAAATATTTTGCGTATTTGAGTAACTTGCAAGTACATTAAAGTCTTATACTAAAAATGTTTATTTTACAATAAAAACAAAGGATATGAAAAATAAACAAAAAATCTTATATTTGAAAAAATCATCTTGATTAAATATGTTTTGGAATCGTTCCTTATTCATGTATATAAAGCTTGAAGATTTACACATACATGTATAGAAATCAAGTATAAATCTGAAAACCTTACACACACTTTTTTTAGTTTTTCTGTTTAGTTTTAACAAGGCCTGTCCGCGCACAGCGCGCTCCACTTTCCTTAGTGCTGGATGGTAAAAATAAAGCAACATAGAAAATGGGACATAACTCTGTAAACATGCTTATCAGAGACTTGCTTGTCCTTGAAAGTATAAACAAATACTTCAAGCTTAAAGTGAATGCCTTAAACGTTTTTTAAGAAAAGGGCAAATTTTCTAAATCAAACAAACTTAAGGAAATTATAGAGCAAAAAGGGCTTAAAGGAGTATCTCCCCCAACAATTGCATTTCAAATTGATAATTGACATGTACTTCAAGTTTTCATTAAATATATTTGATACTATTTAAGGAATGTACCTTAACAAGAAACTTGTAATTCCGATTTCCTCTCTCATAAACATTTTGTTCACACGTGTATTATATATAATTATGGACCGCTGGCCTCTAACAAATGAAACAACAAAACTTCAAAAGTCATGTCAAAAAGGTTAACCAGGGCTCAAAATCTTAATTGAAAAGGAGGTATAACCTTTGAAATGGTACCCTTTCATGACAATAAACATTTCCACTAAGTTTTAGTTGAATAGAAGCATCCTTTTATCTTTTATAGTTTCAGAGAAAATAGAACTTAACAAAAAGGTAAAACCAACGGTCACGCCAACGCCGATGAGACGGTCATTACAATGTGTCCACATTTTATCTCCGAACAGTGGAGTTAACGTATTTATTTCACCTTGATTGTGAAACTGACAGCGTCATGTTATAAAACGTCCTGAAGGTCTTCGGCCTTTATAAAAAACATGAGAAAATATTAACAAGTCAATGAGTCATTGAAATACACAACAACAAATAAAGGGCTTGTTTATGAAATGAGTTGTTGTTCAGACAGACGGACAGATTGAGAGCGTCATGCTATAAAAAATTAATAAGAAAATGAGTCATTTAAGAAACACAACAACATATAAACGACTAAAAATAAACAACATAAACAGCAATCATATCTTCCCATAACTTAATTGCTATGTGACAAAGAAAATATATATCTTCATTATTTAAACCACCGCTTGAATGACATCATGCACACAAATGTCATTTCTTTTTAACGATTGTTTCCTTTGGTAAACTTTTTTTCCAGAGTATGCCCATCATGGACTTCTTTGTCTTCGGCTTAAAGTACACAACGCCTGTCAACCTGTGGACAATGCATGCTGTCATCTTGAATGGTAAAATTGTTTTTAAAATCTCAGTCATTTGTTGCATAGTCAGCCGATTATCTATCACCCCAAGAAGATAAGGTTCCGCCACTGAAGGATCGCCTTTCAACTGGCTCCTGTGCTCCTCGCCAATGATTGTAACGAGCTTTTCATGATTCTCTTCGCTGCTCAAATACTTAATAGTCCCTTTTAAATGTTTTCTAAATGTCTCAAGCGGGTCAAATGATTCACGAGTCCGTCTTGCTTCCTTTTGTTTTTTTAGATTTGTTTTTAATATTTGTTTAAGTTCTTTGTGTTTATTCCCTGCAATCTCATGACTTACATGTGTAAGGTACTGTAAAAGGTTACACCCATTAAAAACTTCATTCAACTTCTCTTTTAAAAATTTGATGAGGTCGGATCCGGTTTTCGGTTTCCGAAATGCAATTTTTCCTTAAACAAAAAGAAATAGTAAAAAATGAAATAACAAATTATAACAATGAAAAATGAAAAAACCTATTGTAATAAAAAAAATATGTTGTAAAGATAAACATAAGATTATGACCAAGCATAAATAAAATTCTATGAACAAATAAAATAATTGTATGTCGTTCGCCCCCTTTTTCTTCCGTTTTTTTTTTCTATTTCGGAATTAATAAGATCAGCAACGGTTTTTACCTTTTACAAAGATCAACGTCTTATCCAATTCGGTTTTATTTTAATTCATGGCGCAGGACTAGTCCTTGCCAACTTTCTAACGAAATGTTATGGCATTTTCAATAAAATTTTCTTCATATCACGTGTTTGTATATTCTTTGCCTCATGCAAAAACGCTCGATCTAGACTCATATTCCCTGATCTGGACAAGACTTAAATATCTGTAAGCTTTTATATTGATATCTTTATTCATACCTCAATATTCTTTTATAACAAATTAATGAAACTGCTGAATTGCTCTGATTCTAACATGAATAAAAATTAATAAATTCGCAGCAGATTAAATAAAGCTTGGAACATCATGACAGTCCAATGACCACTATGTTACCTGCCAGAACAAGAACAAGAAACAGAACTGTAGTTGACAACTCAACTTAATATTTAAAAAAATATACGAAAGAATCATTTTAAAATCGACTCAAAAAGTCTTAAGAATCGGAAGAAATTTAAATGTTTAGATTTCCTAACCCTTTGATTAAGGATGTTATAGAAGAGATATGTGGCTGAACGAGCTACTACAATTCTTTTTAACCATTTTGCTATTTGTTAAGTGAGCAAAGAATACACTTGAAAATATAATAACTTGTGTTTGCTGAATAACATACATGATTGTTTTCAAAATTATCTTTAAGAATTAAATTTTAGAAAACAGAACAGTCAGAAATATGCATGAAACTAGAAATTTTCACCTGACATCACTGGATACATTATCAGAAAATCATCCGGACAGTTAAGAGGTACAATATCGAATGGCGACGGCGGTAACTGTCCACTATCTCCACTACCTCCGGTGTCAATTTCTGTGACTTCCCCTTCCGCATCTTGATCAGTTGCTTGGTCAGAACTTCTAGAGATTGCTCCCAGTTGTAATGCGTCCGGATCTAAACGGAACAACATAGAAACACAAAACTCATATATGGGTCAGCGAGTGTATTTTTGTAAATGTTATCAATATCAGTTTTCATGTTGGTACAACTTGTATTGGCAAGTTTTGTCAAACTTAAAACAATCATTCTGTACCTATGTTTTCCTATTTGTATCTCTATTCTTCTATAGGTTATTTTCAACTAACATTTTTCCTAAACCTACAAATTACTTTTATAATGGCATTCCTTTTAAGCGATGTTATTTAAATTAATTGAATTATTTCCCAATCACATGTCCATGCATACCATGTGACGCATGAATGAGAAACAACAAAGGATTTGTTCAAAGATAATGGCGATTTTTTTTTAATCTCTCTGGTTGAAACGAAAGAAAAATAGTAAGAAAATAGGCTGAAATATCATAAAATGAGCCGCGTCACGATAAAACCAACATAATGGGTTTGCGACCAGCATGGATCCAGACCAGCCTGCGCATCCACGCAGTCTGATTAGGATCCATGCTGTTCGCTTACAGACCCTATAACAAGTAGAGAAACTGATAGCGAACAGAATGGATCCTGATCAGACTGCGCGGATGCACAGGCTGGTCTGGATCCATGCATGTCGCAAACGCACTATGTTGGTTTTGTCGTGACGCACCTCAAATGTAGCAATTTAAAAATATATATAATTTATATTCGTCAATCTTAAGAATGATCATGACAGGAAAAGACTTTCCTGGATATATTTGTCATGAGGATTAAAATATATAGTCTTAGCATCAACTTATCCATTTCTTCCAGACTGATCTACATTAAACTACATGAAGAAATGCCGCAATGCGAAACGACACCTTTTTAACGTACATGTCACACGGGAGCTTCGTCATCAAGTGCCATAACTATGCATATTGCGATTCGAACATTTCATTTTGGGGTAATTATGGCCTTTCGATTTTTTTTTTCATATATGATATATAGATGAAAAAATAATTTGTATCTTTCATGTTTCAACAAATTTGAAATGTTAATCATTCTAATTAACATAGAAGTAATCAAACCCGAGCTATCAGTGACAGTAATTTACCTGTAAAACGAAAACACGTCTTTGACCGTAACTCAAAATTCTAGGCTGACAGTTGCAAAAACAAAATATGATAAAATAGATATGTATGAAATTTCAATACACGTATAATGAAATAGAGTTTATAAAATCAAAGAATAGTTGCACATCTATGTAAAAAACAAATAACCATATTTCTGCCAGAATGTTCGCAAAATATGCGCCAGTGCTCTGGATGATGATGATTCTGTAAAAGTTTAGCAAAAATTGCTTGAGAAATGTAGGAGGAATTGAAAACAGAAGAGTACTTCTCTGCTTTTCAAAAATGTTTCAATCGCAAACACTGACAATATGCGCCAGGGCACTCGGAGAAAGTTTAGTCTAATAAAGTAGTAGCAGTTGAGAACAGAAGTGTATTTCTCTGGGTTTTAGAAAACAACAAAGTACAATAATTCCGTCATAAATATTTATGTCCTTATGCGCTAGAAGATATAATGACAAAACTTCTAAATGGTGAAATCGCGTAAGACAAATTGCGCACAGAAGGGTAATTCTCTATTTTTAAACAAAAGGTCATAATTCTTATGCCCGCCCGCCGAGATTTCTCAATCTAATTACGTGTACCAATTTTTTTTCCTTCGGAAAACCTGTTTTAATATGGTATAAGTATACTGGTTTTGATATTTACTTACCGCGTTGCGTGCTTCACTCTAAATTTCAAAGCCGGTGTTACTTTTGCACAATTCCTGCATTATTTTCACATTCCTGCATTACGGGACATACATGGTGTTATCAGTGACGTGGTTTTCATTAAACATTTTGTCAATCACATACCAGATAAAGGCTAGTTATTGTTACTTACCTTTTTCCCAATCTTTGTACATGTCTTCAGCATCGGTTAAATCAATAGCGTACAGATTGTTTGCCGAGTCTCTCGGATCTGTTCTTAACGTGTTTGGATCTCTCACGGACGGATTTTTTGTCCCTTGAACGACATTGACGTCAACGCCTGTATCGTAGGTGTCAGCACTACCTATCTCTCCCCTTGATTTGCATGCCTTTAGAATGGAGTTAAAATAAACAACATCTTTCTAAGCAAAAAGGTAACAAAATATTATCTTCATCTAGACAGCGATTAAATTGTGAGTTGTGTACCAGGATACAGTCAGATTATTGTTAAAATTGTTTATCTTACATGTTTTACTCTTTACTTATGTGACGACTAATGAAATCGCTTAAAATTTGGAAATTTTGTCACTCACGAATCGTCATAAAATTGGGTCACCAAATAGTGTCAATGCCTAAGTCATTTTACTATTCGTCGGTATTTTATCTTTAAAAAACCATTGAAACATCTAATATATATGTTAAACCTGTATCAGTTACCACTTCCGAATAAACATCCCCATGTAAATAAAAGCCATTCTTCAAAAACCTTAACTGATTAAAAAAAACTGTCTATTAAGGTTGTGGTGTTGGGTCTCTCCTTTGGATGACCTTTGCTAACAGGTTTGACTGTATAGTAAATCACGGCAATCAAAACTTGACTTTGTATAATGTATATACCTGTATGAAAAACAGCTTTGGTTTTCCTTTTAATCCTACTGAATTTTCATCATTGAATATATCAATTATCTCATCGACATAAATAGGAACATTATCCTCCGCTAAAACTTGGTGCCGCCAAACAGTCGCTTCATTTGATTTTTTTAGGTCTATTTCCTTTGCTTCGTGCCCGTGTGTACTCAATACAAGTACAAAACAGTCACAATCGTTGTTGTATGTGAACTTGCTGGCTGGAATAAAGATAAACCAATCAGTAACGTAAACCCACAAATAGGATGATAATGTAATGTCTTGATTGGAATTTAATAGAATGCCATGATTAAATGACCAATCGAATGCCTTGATATTTGACCAATAGAACGCCTTGATTAAATGGCCAACAAAATGCCTTCATTAAATGGCAAAAAAACATGCATTGATCAACATTTTGTCTTGATTTAATTACAAACAGTTGTTATGATTTAGTAACCAATAAAATTTAAAAACACATGAACTACAAATGACAGTGAACACAATATTCATGCAATAAAAATACAAAGGAACATGGAGGGCCAACGACTTGGTATCATAAGATGCTTGAGACGAAAAATATTGTCAACATTTTATTATAATAATAGCTTAAGTATGCAAACATATAGATATGTGAGCTTTACTTCTGCAGTATTATTTTATAAAGAAACAGCGTTACTATGACGTCAAAGCGCCCTCTATCGGTGGTGGCGAAATTGCGTCTTTTTCTCAGTAAACCAATCTGTTCTTATCAATTTTTATCCGATTTCATTCGTTTTAATTTTATAGTGTTCAGTAAATGTATGTCTTTGTAATGATATCTTTCTTTAACATTTGCTTCATAGTCTGCGATTCTACGTCATTTTTCTCTACGTTCTGACGTCCATTTATGATGCAAAAATCGCGCGATATCGCAATAAAGATTGTGTAATAAAAAAAAAAATTCAACGCGGTGAATTTTGCTATAATTTTACGAGCGTGTAGTGAGAATGTGAAGGAAAATATTTATGCAATAAAAATATAGGGTCAACGCGTAAGATATTTTGCTATTACTGTTTTAAAATAAAATAAAGGGAATGTAACGTAATGGTTTTGGTGACGTTAATAGACGTTGGACTTCAAAGAATTATACCAAATAACAATTTTCTTACGTCAAACATTACGATAGTAAGTATATATAAACAACACAGGAACTTGATGAAATGTATATTTTTTAAATTGTTGATTATTTTCTCATTGAAAGCATGCGCTAGATGAGCACATTTACAATGTTTAATCTTAAATACTTTTCTAATACGCAGGACGCAGTCTCATACATCTTTTAATTTTAATTTTATAATTTGATGTTTGTTTGTAATGAATGAGTGAAAAGTGTTATATTATTATATGAATTAACTAGTTTCAGCGCAAAAAAAAAATAAGATTCACATATTGCTGTATGAATGAAGTAAGAATATTAGGTTGCTTAGCTTATACCCGTTAGAATATTTATTTTCCGTGACATTCAGCTTTTAAACACTTTCATAAAATCACATACAGGCAGACGAGCCTCGGTGTCAAAACACATTGTAAAAATGCAATTAAAATAGATATGCATACAAATGTGAAATAAGTGATAAATAAATTCAGAAATAAAATTCAAATATGTGAAGAATATTTAAAAACAAACTGTACAAGAAACAAAAACATTTATTTTTGCTTACCATTTTTAAGTCTGTGCAATACATAGATTATATAATTATAATCTAATTTAAATGTCATGATAATTAGAAAATGGCAAACTATAAAACTTTTTGGAACTCGGATTTACGTATACCTACTTACCGCTTTTTCATTACAGTATAAAAAAATAGAAAACAACAAAAAAAACCGAAAACACACACCAAAACACGTGTTTATGATGTAAACAATAAAGTGGACGTCTGCCTTATCAAGGGAGATCAGAATCAGGTTTTTAACTTTGAATATTCTTCTATTGCCACGGTGTAAGCGGTAAAGTGTTCTTACGCTGAATTCGCAAGGTATGGATTGCGATTGCGTATTGTACTAATAGATTATCCTTTAGAATTGTTTACTGTGTATGAAATGTTTCGAGGTCAGCCTCGGACTCCTGTCATTCATTTCCGAAGAGAAGTTTATACTGTGAGAAACACTGGTTTCATTAAATTCCCTCAGCTATAATTGAAATACTGTTGAAAGCGGCGTTAAACCCAATATTTGAAAAATAAGAATATATAAAACATAAAATGCATAGTTTATTATTTTCATACGCTCTACATAGCACTGCATTATGTGCAGACAAAAATACACGAGCTTCTCCTACAACCATATTCTCACAAATTGAGGATCCTACATGATCGTCTTCAATAAAAGGGAATCTGTATTTAATATGCAAAATTCTCTGCTTATAAACATACAAAACAAATCAACGGATCTTTCGTCTCGATTCGAAAAATGATCGCGGCTTCAGGTTGCCTCAAAGATGCGCTAGTAAACGCATACCGCGAGTCAGCGAGTTTTAAGTAAATAAGAATATCTGTATTTATGTGAAATACGTGAGAAATTAAAACCATAGCACGACTTTAAATCTGAGTCTCACACTTAGTGCAGGAATATAAATTACAAGTATTTTGTACAAGTAGAAAAGTTTTAAAATAAATGTCTGCTAGACTTATATAATTAAGACTGCCAGTGAATCACGACTTACGTACAAATCGTTATTACTTCCAGATGATCATACATTTTAGTAACGTAAATTTGGTTCATTTCCTACTAACTGATATATACAATTCGAAATTGTTACATATGATAACATGGAAGTTTATGTAGTTCCGACATACACATAACATGATGACAGAGCGACTGCACCAGCCTTTTCATTCCTTTTTTTCTGACATTCTTTGCAAAATTTATGTTTGTATTATTTCAACTTAGGTGGCCTTTTAATTATATATTTCAATATTCTGAATTGTCTTTCAGTCCTCGAGGTAGTTATAACCATTCGTTGCAGTTTTTCAGAGATTGATAACAACTTTTGCAGACAGTCATACCCTGATTTGTTGTACATGTATATAATTGAAGTTGTTCATCGAAATGCAGGCACCTGACGGGACTTTTAAAATAACATTTTACGGTACATGTCTAAATACTATGGTTGTTGATGGTTTTCACACATTTTCATTCCAGTCAGTATGCTAATTATCGGAAAAGTCGTGAAAATTTCCTTGAGAAAAATATTTGACGTCACCAAAATCATTACGTTTTACTCACCTTTTATTTTATATTCCAATAGTAATAGCAAAATATCTTACGAGTTGACCCTATATTTTTATTGCATAAATATTTTATTTCATGACTTCGAATTCACTACATGATAAAAAAATTATAGCAAAATTCACCGTGTTGATTTTTTGTTTTTTTCACAATCTTTATTGCGATATCGCGCGATATTTGCATCATAAATGGACGTCAGAACGTAGAGAAAAATGACGTAGAATTGCAGACTATTAAGCAAATGTTAAAGAAAGATATCATTACAAAGACATACATTTACTGAACACTATAAAATTAAAACGAATGAAATCGGATGAAAATTGATAAGAACAGATTGGTTTATTGATAAAAAAGACGCAATTTCGCCGCCACCGATAGAGGGCGCTTTGACGTCATAGTAACGCTGTTTATTTGTAAAATAATGCTGCAGAAGTAAAGCTTACATATCAACATGTCTGTATACCAAAAATCATCAAGATCTGAGATGTTGTCAAATTTCGGTCGGAAAGTAGCGAGGTACCTTTAGCTATTGACGTCGTCAGAGGGTAACATGGGCATCCCGGTGCCATTTATAAGTTACTGTGTTTGAGATTTCTGTGTGCTCGGTATAATAAAATACTGCTTAGGGTGATAGATCACATACTGCTTAGGATAACAGAATAAAATGTTCAAATGTGTCAAAATAATGTAACGTGCACGGGCTACATGTAGCTGTTATATATATAATTTTTCTTATGGCTACTTTGCCACTTGATTACAAATGATTAAAACAATGATTTGTTCAAACTTTGGAATCAAGTTCAATAAAACATCGTTTATAACAGTAAAGTGCCTTATAGTTAATATGCTTCACTTGAACTTTATATAATTGGGGTGACACATTTTAGGCTATTCAATATATATAATAATCACTTGGGTATCAAGTTTTCAATACTTTAGTATTAACAATTACACCTAACGCAATGTTAAATTGATGCAATTGATAAACTTCGTAAATAGTGCAAGATTCCAAGTGATTAATCTTAAATATTAATTAATTATTTCTGTGATGTTGACACTTCGGCTGCTTTTTATACCCAATAATGTAGTTATATTTAATGATCGTTTACTGAAGTTGAAGAAATCAAGCATCAAGAGTTAAAATTGAGAGGGTACCTGTGATATAAAAAATCAAATGAAGAGAGGTAGCCACCGAAAGTAGGGTGTTTTATGAATATCACATTTATTTTTGACAATATACTGTCATTTGTCTGAAGATGATATGTAAATGAAGATATTGAAAATGTATGATGCACATAAAATCAAGCCACACTTTCATTGCAGCCCGAAAAGTATGTCGAGGTGATGGGCGAGGCAAGACATGTCGATTTTTGTAGCTTATTGTGAAGTTGCAGTACATGAAAAACGGGCACATGACAAATCAGCACATGAATAAAACATTCTAGTGTTCCGTGGTATACATGTTTTCTACGTGTCATACCTCCTTTCCTTATTACAATGAAATTTTACTGGATTGTTATCCATCGCTGGTTTGTTTTTAGCAGAGAATGACCTGTGCATGTTCAAAGAGGGTACCGTTTGAGCAGATTTCGCAAAGAGGGTACCGATATGGATAAGCACCGTGGTTATATTACCCCTTACTTTTTGTGTAATGTAAATTTCCCATAGGTCACTTGGAGTTATTATACTGATAATGCCTACTCTCACCTTTCATCTGAATAACAATAGATTTAACCATAAACATTGACATGTGCTCTTTTATTAACAAATATGTTGTGGTGAAATTCAAACTTTATCGCATGGTTTGGAACTTTTCCTTTGTTCTTACCAACCCATTATACTAAGTACACTTCAATGAGCATTTGAAAACTGTATTGATATATAACAGTACAGTTTTTTCATTGATTCATATAGGTAAAAAACTCGACTGCTTATAACGGTTGAGTTT